GTCTTCATAGAGAAGCCATCTAGACAGGTTGGTTCATAGCTGCAGCCCACCCAGTCCTCTTTCCAGCAGTAATGAAGTCCCAGCTCTGGCCACCTGTGCCCTGACTGTACCCCTGCACTGACAGCCTGGCCCACAGTCTCCTCTGGCTAAATTCTTATCTCGTTTTCTACTTCTCCAGGCCATGTGTGCACAGCCCACAATATGCTGGCTGTGTGGCAGTCATGGTGTGTTCTGGCATGGTTGGTAGAGCAACCCCGAGTACCTCTCCCTCTTCTGGGGCCCTCGATGCCCTGTCCCTTACACAACTCAGAGTGATGACCAAGCAGAGAGGTGATGTGAGGGGACCTTGATGGTCCTACAGGCCACCCCAGAGCTTCCTGAGTGACAAGCAGAGGCCGCCAGAATTAGACCCCAAGGCCTGGGAGAGGAACGGTGCCCTGCTGGGATGCCTAGGGGCTCCCAGGCTAGTGACTAGGCCTGAGCCTGAGTGTGCATTGTCCCCAGGCCTGTTGTGGCCAGAAGAGAGGTGGGCAGTGTGTGTAGAGCCCCCAGCCTGGCTCTCTGGGCTGGAGGCTTGAGCATGGCCGTGTGAAGGGCTAGGGACCAGTGGCCGGATAAGGGAGGGCACAGAGACTAATGGTGTGAGAGCTTTGTTGAGTGTCCTGGAGGAAACTGCTTGGGTTTTGTTTTGTGGTGCTGGGGATAGAGCCCAGGGCTCTAGCTGCCTCTGTTATGTAATGCTGGCTCTACCAGCTTTGCCTGCTGCTGTGAAAAGACATACCCTGTTGCCCTGAGCACATGAGTTCAGCCCGTGCTGCAGGCCGCAGGTACCTTGGTTGCCTGCCTGGCATTAGCTTCAGAGGAATGTCCAGGGCAGCTGCCTGGCTTGCCAGGCCACCTCGTAAACAGAGGCTTCCCTGGGTCTTTGCTATCCTGCAGGCACAGCTGGCAGCTTGGCTCTATCTCCTGCTCTGCGTGGGTACAGACGCAGGCACAGGCACCTTCTTCACCCCACTTCTGGCTGGATCTGAACCTCCTATCTCAGATCTCCTAGAGGAAGGGGGCTGTGGGCCTCAGGTGACGGCCAGCCCTGCCTGCCATGTGCTCTTCCCTCCTGCCATAGTCTTGAGCCTAGTGCTGGGCCTGACCTCCCCAGGGCATGATGGGCTCCTGAAGTAAAGGAAGGAGGCTTCCTGGTGCTCAGCCTGTGCAGCCACCACAAGGGCCTGGGAAGTATCTGCAGCCCTGGAGTCTGAGCACTCCTTTCTTTATGGGCCTGTGCGTATGTGTGTGCATGTTACACCCTGTTTTTATGCTTCATCTTGAGACATGGTCTTGCTAAATTGCTGAGGTTGCCCAAGGTAGGCTCAAGCTTGTCATCCTCCTGCCTCGGCCTCCCAGTGCTGGGCTCACGGGTGTGCACTGCGCCATTTGGCTGGGAATGTTTTTTCCTAACCTCTGTTTGGATAGAATTCCCATAGCCCTGAAACAAAACATTTGAAATGATAGTTGAGTGGCCTTTAGCATGTTCCTAACATTGTGTAGCTATGAGCTTTATATTAACACAAACATTTACCACCCCTTAGCAAGCCTCATGCCTAGGAAGAACTCGGCCCATTCTTCCTTACTGGAGTCGCGGGCAAAGTCAGGTTGCTTCTGCCTTTGTAAACTCACCTGTCCTCAGACATGGAGCCACACGTTATGTGATGTTTGGTGTCCACTTTCTTTGATGATCTTGCCTTTTTTTTTTTTTTTTTTAAGACAGTCTCTCCATGCAGCTCAGGCTGGCCTTGAGCTCATTTGTAGCCCAGACTGGTCTTAAACTCACAACAGTCCTGCTGCCTCAGCCTTATGAGTGCTGACTGCTACAGGCATGTGCCACCACGCCTGGCTAGGCTCCAGTGTTTCTGAGATCCATCTACGCTGTCGCAGGTCTGCAGATTCTGTTCCTGTCTATGGTTAAATAGTCATCTCTCAGCCAGCAATGGCGTGCATCTCCGATGATGGCACTCTGTAGGCTGAATCAGAACGATCCCAGGTTTAGCCTAGGCTGAGTAACTTAGCAAGAACCTGTGTCAGTCTTAACTATTTTTTTTTTAAAGGACTTGGATTTGATCATCAGTACAAAATAAAAAAGTCTAATTAGTGGGTGTTGTATATTTTGTTCATCACTTGATGGATGCTGCCAACTTTTGGTGACCCTGAATAGTAATGCTGTGACGATTCATTTTGATTTTTGAGACAGAGCCCTGTATGAGGCCCAGGCTGACCTTGAACTTGGAGCAGTCTTCATCTCTGCCTCCTCCCTGAGAACTGTCAAATCGTTTTCTATCGTGGCTGCACCATTTTATTTTACATACTACCAGAAGAATACAAGTTCTAATTTCTCTGTATCTTTGCCAACCACTTGCTATTATTATTATTTTATTTTTTATCTTTTTGAGACAGGGTTTTACTATGCAGTTCAAGCTGGCTTTGAGCTAATTTTGTAGCCCAAGCTGGCCTCGAACTTGTAGTGATCCTCCTGCTAGCACTTCCCATGAGTAGTACGATTACAGGTGCTCCTCAGTGGCCAGCAGCCACTTAGAGATAGTCCTTTCTTTGAGTTGAAATAATGCTGTTGGTGGTTATGAAGCGGTATTTCATATGGTCTTTATTTAAATTTCCCCAGTGATTTGTGATGTGGTACGTCTTTATAAATGCTTGTTAGCCACTGTGTGTCTTTTCTTAGAGACATGTTTGTTCAGGTCCTTTGTCTTCGTTTGTTTTGTTTGAGACAGAGCCTTGCTGTGTAACCCAAGCTGACCTTGAACTCATGGTGATCGTCTTGTCTCAGCCTCCGGAGTGCTAGGATCACAGGCACATACCAGCATGCCCAGCTTACCTGTTTTTGTTTTTCTTTTTGCAGTTCAGGAAATTGAATTTAGGATTTTCATACTGAAGTATATATTTAGCCCTTTTTGTTATTTATTTATTTATTTATTTATTTATTTTTGGTGGAACTGGGAATTGAACTCAGGCCCTTGGGCTCGTCAGGGAAGCGCTTATTCCACTGAGCCATCTCCCTGGCCCTGAGCCCTTTTTATATAAGCATTTGTTACTATTTGAGACAGGAGGTAGATAGATAGATAGATAGATAGATAGATAGATAGATAGATAGATAATGTAGTTCAGACTGGCCTCTAGCTCATAGTAATGTTACTACTTTAGCCTCTCAAGTGCTGAAATCACAGGCATGTACCCCCCCCCAGCCTTATTTTTTATGTTGAGACAGGGTCTTGCTAAGTAGTGTTTTTACCCAGACTATGGGTTTGAACATATAACTCTCTTGCCTCAGCTTTCTGGAGTGCTGAGATTGCAGGCATGTGCTGCTATACTCAGCTTCCTTTTCCTATTTTGAATTGAGTTAGTTACCTTTGTATTGTTGCCTCTGTGTGTGTGTGTGTGTGTGTGTGTGTGTGTGTGTGTGTGTGTGTTTGGTAGCACTATTGGGGATTAAACCCGGTACCTCTCCCATGCTAGGCAGGCATTGTACCACTTAGCTAATTGCTGCCCCCTCCCTTCCTTTTAAGACAGGCTGTTGCTAAATTGTGCGGGCTGGCCTTGAACTTGGATTTCTCCTGCTTCAGCTTTTTGAGTAGCTGGTATTCTAGGCATGTACCACCTGCCTGATTTAAAAATAGTTTTTATGTGCTCTGGATCCTGGGTCTTTATCAGACGCATGATTTATAACTACTCCTAGTATTGGTTTCGCAGTGCTGTGGCAGGACCCAGGGCCTCCGTGTGGCAGATGAGCGTCCCACCCTTAAGTGTGTCCAGGACCCTACAGTGTACAGCCGTGATGACATCCAGTTTGTGTTTCTTCTCTCCCGCGCTCAGCTTTTGTTTTCATAGCTCGCAGTGCAGCGCTGAAGCCAGTCACCAAGATTTCCCCTGCGCTCTCCTCTAAAGCTGTTGAGAGTCTTGCTTTTTATATTTAGGTCATTGATCCCGGCAGAGGAGTTTTTGCTTTTGTTTTTTCTGCTGCTGGGGATTAGACTTTGAACATGCCAGGGAGTCACTTTATGGCTGAACTACGGATCCAGCCTGTTCCAGGTGTGAGGGTGCGAGGCAGGGATCCAGGCTCATTCTTTTCCAAGTGGATTTCCTGTTGTCCCAGCTCCCTTCATTGAAGAGAATCTTCTTACTCCATTGAGTATTCTTGGCATCCATGGTGAAAATCAATTGACCATAAATGGGTTTATTTCTGGACTCCGAATTCTATTTCCCAGGTCTGTTCTTTCACCAGTACTGCACTGTTTGGTTACCTTTGAAGTGTGAATCCTTCATCCTGGTTGTTTGTGTCCCAGGATATTTTGACTACTCGATGATTGGAACCTTTTTTGTTTTTCAGTGCTATACTGGGGATATTGAATCCAGGTCCTTCACATCCCTAGTCCATTTTAAAATTTTTTTAATTTTTAAAAATTTGAGACAAGTTCTTGTAAAGTTCCTAGACGTGCCTTGAACATGTGGCCGACCTCTTGGATTTGTTTTTCATACCCACATTTGCACTTACACTTCTCCCTGCATTTCCTTTGTTGGTATTTGCTGAGATGTTTGGAAGCAAGCAGCAGCTATCGCCTGAATTTGCTGTGACTGCTCTGCGTATCTTTTCAGATCAAGGCCTTCTGAAGGCCACCATGAGGACTCATGTCCACTTGACCCCCCACTGCCCCATATCCAGTCCATATATTGCCCCAGTTGTGCTTTACTAGTTTTTAAGTCCTTTCCTTGCAAGGCCCCTGGCCAGCATCTGCACAGCATTTGGGCTGTGCCTGTGTGCCCCCCGCAGCTTAGCTCCCCACAGTCTTCTCGCTCTTGACATTGCCTTTCTGGGAGACCAGTCCACTTGTCTTGCAAACACTGCAGTCTGCCATTCTCTGTGCCCCTTAGGATAGGACCAAAGGCAGCATTTTATCAAGATTACTACACAGGTGTCATGGCTGTCAGAATGCAGCATGACAGGGGACCTCCTCCATGATGATTTTGTTGCATCACTGGGGCGCTGTCCCATCCTGTGGCGTGGGTGGTGCGCTGCACACTTGTTAAATGGGTGACTGGTATGGCCACTGCGACAGGCACGGGACGCAGGGCTTCCTGTGTGCTCTACCTGCGACCAAGCGCGTATTGTAGCCGCTGTCCTCTGCCTCACCATCAGCCCCATTAGGCACATGCAAAAACCAGGGCTCAGGGAGGCTCAGTGATCCCTGTACATGCAGTTAGAGGGGCTTGGGGACAGAAGCCAAGTCATATGTCCTCCAGGGCCAGGTGCATTGTCTGCACACACAAGTCTGAGTGAAAAGGCTTGGGTCCCCATGGGACAGCAAAGGGCTGAACGAGTGCCCTTCTCTCTCACCTGGGCCCTGTGGGCCTCCCAGTCTCGGTGATGCTGTGGCCCTGATATGGTTGTCATCTCTTGTCCGCGTCTCCCTGTGGATAGGGCCCGGCCACTTCAGTGCCTGGTCCTTCCCCATTGAACATGTTGCTTGATTGGCCCCTCCCTGTCCCTTGTGTGGCTGAGGCAGGCGAGAACTGGTTTGTGGGCCTCTAAGAGTAGCTTCGTGGCACCATGGAAGTCTCTGGGGTTCCCAGGGGACAGAGAAGGAGGGTGGCAGGGACTCAGACTCAAATCAATGCAGCCAGCAAGGTGCTACTGCTCACGTGCTTCTGTGTGTCCCAGATGAAGACGTGTGTGTGTTCAAGTGTTCCGTGTCCCGAGAGACGGAGTGCAGCCGTGTGGGCAAGCAGTCCTTCATCATCACGCTGGGCTGCAACAGCGTCCTCATCCAGTTCGCCACTCCCAATGGTATGTGTCTTAGCCCTTGAGCCTAGAGGGCTGGAGCTGGGAAGGGGGCTGCCAGGCAGTCACCAGGTACCACTGTCAAAACTGTCATGCTGAGGGGTTTTTTGTTTTGTTTTTTTGAGGTAGGGTCTCACTGTGTAGTTTGTGCTGGCCTCACCTTATACTGTGGAGCCCAGGATGACCTTGGACTGGGGCGATCCCCACCTCAGCCTCCCAAGTGCTTCAGTTACAGGCCTGCACCACCATACCCAGTTTAAAACCATTGTCCTGGTGGAGAGGAGAGGATCATTTGAGCCCAGAAGTTCAAGGCCAACCTGGGCAACATTGTGAAAATGTCTCTTAACAACCGCTACATAGGGCCAGCCAAATAGCCCAGCAGATTAAAGCACCTGCAAGCAGAAGCAGGGGCCCAGGGTTCGATCCCCTGGTCCTGTCGTGCTGGCCCTGCCCCCGGGGCGCCCTGAGACAGCAAGTGAGATGGTGTGGTGGCGCGCGCCTGTAATCCCAGCTCTTGAGAGGCTATAAACAGGAGGATCACTCGAGTCTGGTCTGGTATGAAACCCTGAACACCCTGTAGGCCCTTCCCCCCCCCCCAAAAAAAAACCCCAAACCAACCACCACTACACACAATAATGACAATGTTAAATAATAATAATAGGGGCTGGGGAAATGGCTCAGTAGAATAAGCACTTGCCTGGCAAGCGCAAAGGCCTGAGTTTGATCCCCAGTTACACACACACACACACACACACACACACACACACACAATAATAATAATAATAATAATTATTATTATTATTATTATTATTATTATAGTCCTGTGTGGAAACATGGCCCTGGTAAGAGTATATTGTTGCTGCTTGGAACAAAACCTCTGTTGTCATTGGGTCCTTGGTATCCTCTGAGGTTCAACCCTTGCCCCCAAAAGTGATCCCCAGCCTAGTGCCTGGCCCTGTCTCATAGCCTGTGGGGTGGAGTTCGAGCATTGAGAAGCCCCTGGAAGGTTTTCAGCAGCCCTACTTCCGGGGATGCAGGTGGGCACACAGGGCCTGAGGGGTGGCCACATGGAGGTGGGCTGGGTGGGGGTGAGCTGACGGGAGCCTGGCTCATGAGCAGCTCTCCTCAGACCCTGCAGCCCTTTCTCTGTGTACACAAACGAGGTAGGTCCCTATTTCCACAAGTTAAACTGCTTCTTCCTCATTCCTGGGGATTTGAACCTCAGGGTGCTCCACCCCTGAACTATGGCTCTTATTATTTTAAGACATGGTCTCACTTAGTTGCACAGGCGAACCTCAACTTTTGATTCTCCTGCCTCAGCCTCCTGAATAGCTGGAATTACAAGCTTGTACTACCACACAACCCTCCTCCCAAATTTAATTGACAGAGTAATTTTATCTATTTGTAGGGTTAAATTTTATCACAGATGTATATATATAGAGTGAAGAGTGCAGTCTATAGAGCAGTGGTGGTAAACATGTGGCCTGCTTGCCAATGGCAGGCTGTATCATTAAAAATAAAGTGTTCAAAGATAAGAGGAAACAGACTGTGATAATCTGTCTAGATTCATAGTTAAAAAGAGAGGGCTGGCCAGATAGTTCAGTGGATTAAAGAGCCTGCTTAGGCAAACCGCAGTGGCCAAGGTTCGATCCCTGGGTTCTGTACCAGCCCTGCCCCCAGGGTGAGCTGAGAGGCCCTTGAGACTGGGCGTGGTGGTGCATGCCTGTAATCCCAGCACTTGGGAGACTGAAAACAGGAACATCACTATGAGTCTGATCTGTGTAGTGAGACCCTGTAGACCCTGTGCTAAATACATTAAAAAAGAGAGAGAGAGAAATGCTGGGTATGGTGACATATGCCTATAATCCTAGCACTCCAGAGGCTGAGTCAGGATGGTCACAATGAGTCTGAGGGCAGCATGGAGTACATAAGCAAGTTCAAGGCCAGCCTGCACTATATAGTAAACCTTGCCTCAAAAAACCTGAAAAAACAAAAATAAAAACAACTCCAGGGCTGGAGAGATGGCTCAGTGGTCTAAAGCACCTACTTGAAACAAGCTTGGCAAAGCACAGGGACCGCGGTTCGATCCCCCAGCACCA